AACTGGACCAGATCATCAGGAAGCAAAGGAGACTGGCATAATTAATGCCAACCAACACACATTTACAGCTGTCAGATCCTGTTGGCAAACATGATTTATTTTCATGGGGATTGCGGGTGTGACTAATAAACGAACCAGCACCCATGCCATTCATTCGAACTCAGAGAAGATGTAGGACTTGGTACCATTTCCCATTTTTAATCAAGAAACTACAACTCCATCAAAGGAGAGTGGCACATGTTTGAAGTCACTGTTAGCTGACTCAGAACAAACCCATGACTGGAGTCCATGGCAGGGGACAAGATCTGCACCAGAGATCTGTGCACCACAGCAATGAGACCATTGCTGAAATAAAGCATCCATTTGTGCTACTGACAAGTCAGAGAACTTTACAAGCTGAAAACAGGTCCAAAAAACGGTCCAAAAAAGGACCCAGGAATTAAGATTGGAAAATATGGAAAATACTGGAAAACATGCCAGTGGAAGAATTTACAAGCCTTTTCAAGACCAGCTGAAGAGATTAAACCCCAGTTTTCCAAGTTAGGCAGAGTCAGAGTTTGGAGCCAGCCAGCTCATGCTCTGGTTCAGAGCAGGGTGCAAGGCAGCCAGGACGATGCTGGCGTCACTCTCCTCCTTCATCCCTCCACTTGCACATCCTCCTCGGATGGAGAGAGCACAAAACTGACCCAAAACCCCAAAGAAAGAGACCAGGTTGTGCCAGTCACTTCTAAGGCGACACCTCCCAGCTCCACCTCGGATGAATTAGCCACCTCTCCGGCTGCCAGAGGAGCCCGGGGGTTGGGAGATCCAAGCCCACCCGTCTGGCAGTGCCCGCTAGAGGCCAGCACAGATGCAGAGAGACGCAGGCACATGCAGCCCACTGTGGAGAGCTCATTACACCCAAGCCAGGATAAATGCTCCTCGAAATGGCGGGAGGTTACAGGGCAATAGCCTGCTCCCAGAGCTGTCAGAAAGGGTTCCCACCAGGGAGGAGCTTTGCAGGAGCTGTCTTTTGCACCCAGGAGTCGGGACCGGCAGCTGTGCTGTGGGGCAGGAGCATATGCATAGGGGAAAGTGGGGCATACCTGCCTGGCAGCAGGGAGAGGCATCGGCAGCAGCTATTAGGGAAGAAACGCTTTTGAGGGACAGCAAATAACCCCAGCCTATGCCTTAAATAACCTGCACTCGGAGCAACGAGCCAGCAGGCTCTCCCGGGCTTCTCCAAAGGCGATTCTAGCCAGCAAGTCGCTGCTGCTGCCAGCCTGCCATCCCAGGGGAAGGATGTCCTCTTACCTGCCAGGGATGGCTGCAGCCATTTCCCCACAGTTCCCAAAAGCCGTGGCTGCACCCGAAGAGTCATGGAAATGCCAGCTCCTGAGCCCCACAGGAGCCAGGGGGGCAAGGAGGAGGCACGCTGCAAGGGCAGCCTGACAGCACCGCCTCCTGCTCCGCGCCAGCCCGTCTCCCTTCCATCCCTAGCGAAAGGAGACTCTGCCATCCTATTTATTTTTTTAATTATTGTTATAAATTTTATTTTTAATCTTCCCTGTCCCTCTGAAGCAGCAGCAGACTGGGACACACGAAGCCCAGGCGGCGGAAAGGTGGCACCACTGCACCCGCACTGCTTGGGAAACCTGAGCCACAGGCAACCCCGGTAACTTCACCGCGGCACCAGCGAGTCCAGAGGAATCCACGTTCCCCCTCCACGTCCACCAGCCTTCGGCCTTGGGGGTCAACATCCCCAGCAGTTAACCTCAGGGGACGCCGCGGGAAGGGCACTGGAGGGCCACCCGCAGTGGGGCTTCCTCCAGCTCTGCCCCAGACTTCCCCACCACCTCTCGCAGTCCTGCTCCCTCAGCCGGTCCCCAAGCCCCCAGCGCCTTCGCCCCACACG